AAAGTCGACACTATGAGTCAGTCGCCTTCATGGTTTTACTCACACTGACCGCTTTGCCACACAAAAAACGCCCCATCTATATCTGGCATTATGATACTAGCCACAATGTAATCATCCTCCGAGTTATGACTGGTACCGTATGTTGATATTACTATAAGGAAAATCCATGTTATCAAATAATAATTTTTCTCACGGGATATTTATAAATGCCAGCGGAGATGATAATCTCCCTTGCAGAGGCGAAGCGGTATATACTAATACAATATTCCAACATGGTTCCAAAGCGTAGCTGCCACATAATGCATTCAAGCAACACCTAAATTCATTCTCCTATACTCCATGATCAGCTCATTGACCTCGCCCATATCCGTATGATCGTATCTTGATAGTTGCTCCATCTCTTCGGCATTCTCCCCATCGTCCTGGTTGGCCGCCATTATCTTCCCCATGAGAAGCCGAGCTAATTGCCAGAACTCAGAGGCATGCCGTAGGAATCCTACCCGTTTCCAAAGGTTCTCGGGGGTATCAGGCAGGCCAGTATCTTCCGGAACCCGTGAATTCCATATTTCGCGCCAATTATCGAGGCCAGTCTGGATAGGCGCTAGCGTTGATTCGAATACAAGGGAGTTATGTAATTGAAACATCAAGGAGTGGATTGCTTCGAAAAGTTCAGGTATCAGCATCAAAATCTTATTTATAGTATTTTCTTTAAGACTTACCTTGTACCAAAGTGAAGAGATTCAGTGTGCCGAGACCTGCAAAGTCTTCTATAATAGACTCTTCAATGGGGCATTGGCAGATCCGCCGGACAACGGACACAATAGACAGTCGACTCTTCCAAAATCGAGTTGTCGCCCACGTATGAAGTTCTTTCATGCATTCTGGAGCGGACTCGGCTTGAAAGCATGACTCTGGGCATGCGACATCCATTTTTAGCTGGGGACCACCATCCGTGGTGGGGAGTTGTGGAGTATGGTGAGTGCAGCGTCGATCAGGAACACAAATATTATTGTACTGGGCTCGTCAGCTTGGCAATTTCCCCGCAAAGATAATAGACGTACCGAATCAACTCTTCTTCCTCTGCAAATTGTTTCCACCAAGCGTTTGAGCTTGTATGTCTCATATCCAGATGCCGATGCGAAGCTTTTGTCGGCCCAATATGTCTCGCCAACTGTCATATGTTATTTGAAACTCGGGCTTGTCTAAATGTACTACTCGACTTACCGTCACCATAGACGCATGTCGATGTCTTCGCATTCTTGCTTGGGCCTCTACCGATCCTTCCCGCTTTTGCAAGGAACTGACTAGGTAGGCTGCCTGCATGCATTGCACGATTTCTTTTCTTTGGCCAGGTTGATCTATGAGAAGTTCCCGGTCGCTTCGGAAGTAAACCTGACGAAAGATCAACTCCTCGACGCTATCAAGCCACCCCTTAGAGGCTTGACTGTCATTTTCGTCGGGTGAAAGGCATGCTCCAATGATAGTCATCACACAGAGTAGACCCGGAGATGCCGAAAATGGGTCGAAGAGGGGCTTGTGCACAATAGGGCAATGCGGGTACCATAAAGACCAGAAGTATTCCAGAAAGCGACGTATGTTTGACGGTTGGAAGAAATCTTGGCACAGTTGATTGATACTCGGCGTCCATTCAATCGTGATAACATTGTCGTTGGTCTTGTTAGATATGATATCTTGAAGATTGACAACCATATCCCGGGATTTGGCGTGCAGCGGGTCTGGGTCATTCACTTTATGAGAATATTCTTCGGGCTTGACTTCGAAAATGTCCGAATCCGATGTAGTGTCTTTGATCTTCCTCACTTTGTAGCCTTGCTGTGCGTGCGTCTTGTACGCCTCGCGGGCCATTTCCTGCCGATGCCGAAAGGATTCTCGATCGGCGAAAGTTCTCATTCCTTGCGTGCTCGTGAAATGTGCCATGAATTCCAGCCCTTCGGCTATGGAGAGGTCAGGATCCTTTGGAGGGAAAAGGATACTGTCAATGGCTGAAATGTCGAGCGGCAGTAGCATGTTCCCCGACTCATCGCTGAATTCGCTGACCATGTTGGATAGTGTTGTTTCATCATTAAGCCACGCCATATGATTTCCCACAGTCAAAACGGCCTGGTTCGTGTCTTCTTGTTCGCTAGCTCTGTTGAATTGTTGGAATGGAGTTTCCATGGTGTGACTCGTTATCTCGGAACCCACAGCTCTTGCCTCTGGAAGCGGATCAAAGCCTGGAGCCATGCTCTGATCCGCGGATATCCTATGCCTCTTTGATTCTCGATTTTGCTGTGGTGTGAAGCGGTCATCGAACACCGACGGACACCGGGCCCTGCAGGTCTTCTCGTGGCGCCGGAGAACATCTCTATGGGCAGGTGTCAGTGATGCAGTCTAGATTGGAAATTCCAAGAGGGCGCCAGCTCACTTTCGATTGAATGCCGCCCCACAAAATTCACAAGCATGTGGTCGGTCGCCATAATCTAGCGTACCGGTTAGCACCCACGGCCACTGGTGGGAGAGTTAACAAACGTGAGACAGAGTGACGTTTGAGGTGCTCCGAGCGACTGAATGTCGCCGAACATACTGAGCAGGCCAGCTCCGATGTCATTCTCCTTCTTCCATTTCTATCTCTTACATGGTGAAAGAAGATAGGGGTGATGTGATGCCGACGATTGACCGGATGTTGGTTTGGTCAGTTTGTTCTAGCGGGAAGTTGCCGACAATGCGGGGTGTGTCGGGTGCGTCGGGTGCGTCGGGTGCGGGGAAGGAAGCACCCGCCATTCTCTTCGGCCCGATCCTCTACCCTTGTATATACGACCTTACTCCAGAGCAATTTTTGGTCATCAACTGATTTCAAGGTCTTGAGAAAGCCCAGTCATCGACAACGACTCATCTTTACAGGAGCGTATTGGTGGGGATGTCCTTGGTCATACTCTGACCAACTCCACTTCAACAAACTCTCAGACCGGCCCCCGCAAAATGGATTTCTAATCCTCAGCTTACGGCACGGCACAACACCCATCGAACACCCGCTATCTTCAGGTTATTTATCTATCCTTACTCTGTTTGTGAGTTTTCTTTTTTGATCTTCTTACCACTCAAATCACTTTATCAGGTCCGTTCAAATGTCTCAAACAAAGATTAAAGCCGTTTTCTTCGACTTCATGGGCACATGTCTTGACTGGCATACCAGCGTGGTCAAATCCTTGCCTCCTTCCATCCCTGAGGCAGAAAGATCGAAGCTTGCCCTGGAATGGCGCAGAAGATACTTCCTTGAGAATAGCCAACGTCACCAACAAGGACTTTCACCTGAGGATATCGACGTTACCCTTGCCCGTGTTCTCGACGCAGTACTTCCTGACTTTCCTTCTTTCAACGCCGCCATAGCCCCCGATTCCAAAGAGCAACTTATCCAGGCCTGGCACTCTCAACCTGCGTGGCCAGAGGTCGGAAAAGCAATTCGCAGCCTACGCGATGATCTTGGCCTCGAAGTCTTTGTTCATGCTAATGGTACAACCCGCCTGCAGCTTGATCTGACGCGGTCTTCCGGCTTGGATTTCAACATGCTATTCTCCAGTCAGTTACTAGGTGTCTATAAGCCTAGCCCGTTGGCATATCAGAAAGCACTGGACCTGGTCAAACTAAGGCCGGAGGAGGTTGTTCTAGTCGCGGCGCATGCTTACGACTTGCGCGGTGCTCAAAGCGTTGGACTGAAAACCGTTTATATACAGCGATGGACTGATGACTTAGACGAGGATATGGATAATGTGAGAACTGAGTTTGATGGGTTTATTAACGATATGGAGAATCTGCCCGCTATTATTACCCAGCTGTGAATGACCACTGTCTTTTCCTTTGGTTTCTTTTATCTTGCAACCCCGGAATTATTTGTAAACATTGGAAGCCAACAATAATCTGGTCCCAAGGCAAAAACAACCACGAGAGAATTGTTTGAATGTCACACAGATGCCATGGACCTTTTGCAACAGTTTGTTTCTCACCGGCCTCATTCCCACAATTTAAATAGTTTCGTCCTTTCTCAATGCATCCGATTCTCTCTCTCCCCCCTTTCGCTTTGCAATCCAATACAATGGAATGGTCAGATAACGATATAACAGGGTGTTGATATGGGTGCAAATCTCCGCCAATCCAATATCCAATTCGACTTCAATGCCATTCAACCATCCGACGAATAGGCCTTTGCTGCCTGTCCACGCGAAGACGCGATGTTGTTGAATTTGCTGCTAGGTAACAGCGTGCTCCCGGAGATCATGAGGTAGGACCTCGGGCATCAAGCATTTCCAGGCTGCAGACACCGGAGTAATATAGCGTCACGGTCTTTCTTCTAAAGTTCCGTCTTATTCTTTGAAAGCGGCTTATCAGAGCAGCTGAGTCACTTTCTCATATTTTCCCACCTACTGCAGCGTTGCAGAGACAGCGTCAACTCGCCTTAATGCGTCCATGGGAATATTTTTCCACGCACCTTTCGACTCTTTTTCTCTGAAAAAATGTCCAGGATTCCTTTAATTGTATAGATAGCTTACTCACTTGTACCATTTGATCTTCAACTCAATATTTCGTCTATACTAGGAATTCAAGGTCGTATTTATATTAATCGCCTCGGCTTATATGACTATCGGGTTGGATTGCGGGGAGAGTTTCATTAATATTATAGAGATCTTCGCATTTATTTATTTTACGTCCGCTGGCTTGGTCACGATCGCATCCTTTGAACTCGCTTTTTCCCAGGCAGTCTTGATTTACTTGGACCCTCTTTAGATTCTGGTTTCACTTTTAGTTCCCTCTTCCGACTTCCCCCTCAGAAGCACCCACCATTCACTACCTAGGCAACTCTTCCTTTTTCATTTTACCCCCTACCACTTCCCACTTACTTTCCACTTGCGTCTCACATATCCATCCTCTTCTTACCATCTAAGGTCTGTACCTCCATCTGTACTTCTTTTTTAGTCATCTCATTGTTCCAGGTCATCCTATCCACGATGGAATGCGACACAGACCTCGAAGCCGCCCCTCTCAAGAGGAAGGGGAATAATGATGTTGACCAAAGTGAGTGTTCCTGATATCTCACATTGACTTCATATGCAAAATCTGACTTATATGTTTAGACGAACCCCCAAAGAAGCTGAAGCTGGAAGAAGATGAAAAAGCCGAGTGTGTAGGAGAGCCCCCCGCATGGGCATCGGTATGTGATAATCTTTTTCTGGTATTGAATTGGTGACTTCAAGTACTAACTAGCCCTTAGACTCGGCCCGATCTTTGTGAGACAATGCCGTGGTTCAAACACCAGCAGGCGGGGATCTACTCGAGTGGCGCCAAGGGCTGCATTGGACTTCTGATTGACGGGAGCTGCGGCGGACGTACCTATGTTGACGAGGAAATTATAATAACACGGCTGTATTTTTACAACCTTCTTTCTATCCTGGGGAAACGCCGAGCTAATCTTCATCCATCACCAGATCAGGGGGCTACGAAAAAGCCAAGGACGGTACTCTGATCTTAAAGGAAGACCAGAAACTGGAAAGACTCAACAAGGGTGTCGAGATGAGTTGGAGATCCAAACAACCCATTGGCGTAATTATCGGTAAGTGCAACTCCGCTATGGGCTTTTTTGCAACTTTGAATCCCGCTGATGGATAAAACAGGCGACAGAAATGAAGACCTCGGCCGCAAACTCCCCCATCGATACAACGTAATGGACATCTTCGTCATAACCCACCTATGGCCCGAGAAGGTTGGGGAGTTCACGAGGTACATGATGAGACTCCAGAAGAGAGATATCAGCAGTCAAAGTTGGTGGGCTGCCAAGGACTCGCCTGGTCTTCCAGTAGTCCGCGACTTTGATACACGGCCTGAAACTATGATCTGCGATGCTTGTGGCCATGAATCCTGCCGCGTATTCAGAGGCGTCTGGATGTGCCTGGAGAAAGATTGCCTCCAGTTCTGGAAAGTGAATGGAGAATCGCCCACAACAAAACTCGAGTATGACCCGGTTTTCCTCTCACATCGGTTCTTCTGGGGCCAGGATAGCCTGCCAGAGAGCCCAGATCTTGTCCCTACGCCTCCAGTCATTACTGAAGAAAACCGGGACCTATGGCGACATGGCGAGAACACTCGCCAAGGGATCGTCTGCCCGTACTGCCATAAATGTGTCCCTCGTGTTTTTTTGAATGGCTGGAAGTGCAGTGTCAAGCACGCTGTCCCGCCCCAGCCTCGAAAAAATGAGCCGGATTGCCCATGGAGTCTCATTGTTGAAGGACCAATTGTCCGCTTGTGCGATGTCATAGCACCACCGGAAAGTCTCCCTGAGCCACATCGAAACGCCAGGGACTCGGGAAAGCAGACTGAAATGCCCCGTGGAGGCCTGGAATCATTCTACAAGTTACCCCGATTTGATTCTAAGTGCATGCGGCCTCGGATTGATACAGTGTCACTGGCCCCCTATGTCGTTTTGCAGTATTCCCTCGGGGATAGCATCGGCACAATTTCACATATTGTGTCGAACACGGTCGTCAACGCCAGCGAAGGCGGACCCGATTACCTATTCCACCGATTCCAGGAACTGGACCTGGAGCTCCGAAAGGGAGCGACTCATTAGCGCTCGAGGTATGTATCAGCTTCTTCAAAATACTCACTGCGTGGCTAACAAAAAACACAGTCCAAGGCCAGATGACTGGTCATTTCCTGAAAAATATTGTAAGTAAGTCGGAGTCGCAAATTCTTATTGTTCTTCACTCACGATAAGCCAGGGGCTCCCCTATAGCTTTGTCGTCCCTGTGCAATCGGAGGCATTCATGGATACGCATCCGGATGTCCTTCTCGCGCATAGTCGTTTAGTTTGGATTACCAAGAAGATAGCTGCAGGTCACGATGAGGAGTATCAGGAACCAAACGAGCTACTGCTTGTTGGCTACAAGAAGAAAATGGACATGGGTGTAAGCACACATTCCTGTTCCATCTTTCTCCATGTGTTCGCTCTTTAACTAGTTTACAGTATCATGACGATGGTGAAAAGGTTCTGGGGCCAACCGTGGCCACCCTCTCCCTAGGGGCAACATCGACTATGTTTCTCCGGATGAAGACCAAATACTTTACCGGTCTTCATCAAACCGGTAATGGTATTAATCTTCTCAAGGACGACCCTGTTTTGCCTGGCTGTCTTCTTTACGATAGCCGAAGGGCCCTGAAAGAACAATATGAACAGGGTTTGCTCACAGAGCTTGAATATGATGAGGGGCGGCGCAAGATACTCAAGTCGACGTCGGATTCGTTCCCGCGGATAAAAATGGAACTCCACCATGGTCATATGGTGGTTATGCACGGCGCAGACCTTCAAAGATACTACGAGGTGAGATTTGTTTTTCTCTTTCTAGGTCACATTAGTCAAGCTTCTGACTTTCATCTAGCATTCGGTGGTCCCTGATGGAGGCCTCCGCTTTGCGGCAACGGCACGGTACATCAAGGAGCATACTGTGAAGCCAGAGGATATCTGGATGGGTCGGTACGAACTGCCATCTGGCCAGGCTTACAGCGGGGAATGATTCGTCATCGAAGGAAGAGGTTCCAGGAAACGCCTCCGCCCATCCATTGCTTTCAGTCTCCCTTTCTTCTTTCTCTTTCCCATATTTTCTTCTACTCCTTTTATCTTTATCTTCACTCTTTGTTTGCATTTGCTTAATTTTTTCAATTTGAATTTTCTTTTGCTCAGCCATTTAAAGTTGAATTTGAATTTGAATTTACGGCTGCTTTGTTTTGGGGCCTGCTCTCCAGAACACCCCTGATCTCAATCTTGATAATATATTTCTCTTACTTCAATCTACTATAACTTAAGTCTGCGCTCTTTAAGCTCGCTGGGATTCTTCCTGGATTTTTTGGTCCTTTGCTTCATTCATTCGCGTTCTGAGTTTGTAGGGTTCGTTAGTTGATCCCCTTTCCACGAAGAATCAGGCTCATTTTTATATAAAACTAGAGACTCTACTTTTTCTTTCGTGCTTCAACCGATTTCCAACACCATGATTACCAGGACATCATGGGCTCACCGTGGTCACCTTGTCTCTCGGGGGTAGTTCTACTATGTTCCTGAGAATGAAAAGGAAATACTTCTTCGGGCTGCGCCAATCTAAGAATGGCGCCCCGGCCTTGACAAAAGACAATCCTATCTTGGATGGCTGCCAGCACTATGACAAGCGAAAGGCTCCGAAGGACAAATATAGCCAAGGCTTTCTTACCGATTCTGAGTACAACGAGAACGATGGAACGTCTTAAAGTCAATCAAGGATGCTACGCCCATAATCAAGATGGAGCTGCATCACAGCCAGGATCTACAATCCGGTTCAAAAGTATTTACCCACTTCCCGCCCCACCCACAATCTATACCACCACAACAATTTGCAATAGCACACAATACAACAGAACTACGCGAATTCAGCAAAATTTTTATTAGAAATCAAAGTACAAGCGCTAATTTACCTATTGAAACGCATTCTATAATCATTACTGCAAGTAAACCCATTAATTAATAATATCGTACCTAGGTACGTATGATATGATGGCATGGATCCGGACCCTACGCTATTAACAAGCGAAATGAATGGCGGATGATATTGATTAAACCCGAAACGTTAAGGAAGGAACGGAGGCGTCGGAGATGAGACCCTTGGCGCCACCCGGCATCGAGTTCATCGATGGAGAATCGCGAGGTTGAGCGTTTCCTCTCGAATTTCGGGGGATTCAGAAACTTTCGAAACTTCACCATCACCGTCTGCAACCTCACATCTCCATCATGGGCAACTTCACCATCCTCAATGGGCAAGTGTACACTCCGGGCCTCGCCATTGTGGATGCCCCACAGCCCAATACGCCCCTCGGCGGAGGCAAGCCGACCCCAACCCCCCTGGAAAAAAATAATCCACGCGACTGACCAGCGCAGATAGCCTTCAAATCGCAATTGATGTGTCTGGAAATGGCCAACTGCCGTGGCCACCATCGACACAGCCCAATGCCGACACGCTCTTCTACAACATCACTCTGTTCCTGACGTCGGAATCCCAGTCGCATAACTTCACCATCTCCAATGGTACGGAGCCCTCAAATAACTCGAGCTATGTTGGCCCAGTGCTTGAGCTCGAACCATCTTCCACAGTGAAGCATGTTAATTGGGTGTGGCCCGAGTGTTTGGTTGGCGACGGGGATGGGGATGGCGACTCGGCCCGAGGCGCGTATAACATCTCGATGCACCAGTCCTTCCGCTGGAATGGAACAGACTACTATACCGTATTCGACCTGCCCATCTCTGTGACGAATAGCATCTCCAAGAGCTCGGGTCAATTAGAGTGCGCGCAGCTGGAGAACCAGCTACTCAGCGCGACGGAGGAGAGCGAGAGCAGCGACACGCTCCCCTAGCCAGCCTTGGGTTCAAAGTGGAGCAAGCACCACGAGTTCGAGTAGCTCCAGTGAAACTAGCAATTCAAGTGCGACGAAGCGAATCGGTGCTCCACGGATGGGCTGGTGGATTGTGGCCGTGTTGACTTGCCCATTGCTGCTGGGGTGACGTGGCCCGTGATCTTGGAATCTTGGGCTCTTGGTATAATTATCCCCCCCTTTTCGTGTATAATAATAGTGTGTGCCAAATACATCTGCCTAGTTCGACTAGGGAGGCTGAGCTTGATATGGAGTACTTGACTAACTAGTAGACTACTCGTACTCGTATGGAGCTCGCGTTTGACCCCTCAAGTATGGACGAGACAAACACACAAACACACTTCACCCCTAGATTCATCACCCTTTCCAAGCCCACATCGATCTTGGCATCTTTCCATCCAGACGCGTATCCACGTTCACGTTACTTCTCATCCAGAATGCCCCTCAATCTTTCAATATTCTTGCCTTCTGGCGTCCGTTCCTTATGACCAAACTCACTCCTTACCCTCGTACCTTTCGCCGAGTGCTGGTCCGCAACCGCCTCATCCGATCTCTATTCATCATCTTCGCTCTCTGGAATCTAATCGAGCTGCATCTCATTCTCCGCAGCATCTCCGAGACCGACCATGACCACAGCTATCGCGAGCAACCCCGCCAAAAAGAACGAATCTACATCGCCAGCGTCAACTGGAACAATGAACATATCATGCGCAGCCATTGGAGCCAGGCATTGGTCGACCTTGCCTGGAAGCTCGGTCCTGACAACATCTACATCAGCATTTATGAGAGCGGCAGCTATGATAATACCAAGGGTGCATTGATAGAACTGGATCGGGAATTGGCTCGCATGCAGATCCCCCGCAGCATCACTTTATCGCCCGTCACACATCAAGATGAGATCGCCGCCCCACCGGGGGATCATGGTTGGATTGTTACACCCTCGGGAAAGAAAGAACTGCGACGAATCCCCTATCTATCACGCATTCGGAATCTGAGCTTGGAGCCGCTCCAAGAACTTGCAGCGCAGGGAATCACTTTCGACAAGGTGCTCTTCCTCAACGATGTTGTTTTCACCGTGAGCACCACCTCTATCCTGTCAAGCATTGAGCTGTCCAGTCTAACTTGTATCCAGCCAAACGACGTGTTCGAGTTACTCAGCACAAACGATGGAAACTATGCCGCAGCTTGCTCACTTGATTTCTCCAAGCCACCTAATTACTACGATACATTTGCTCTCCGCGACGCCAGCGGTCATGAAGCTGTCATGTCGACCTGGCCATTCTTCCAAGATCCGGTGTCTCGCTACGCAATGAAACATATGTCCCCGGTTCCAGTGACGAGCTGCTGGAATGGCATCGGTAAGTCAAGTCAAGTCTCGCCTTCTCATCCCATTTAACGAGAGAAAGTTGCAATGCCCGCCGCGCCCTTTACCGCATCCACACCCCTCCAATTCCGTGGAATTGCCGACTCCCTCGCAGAATCCCACCTCGAAGGTTCTGAATGCTGCCTGATCCATGCGGATAACCCTCTCTCGAAACAGAAAGGCGTTTATCTCAACCCGCTCGTGCGGGTGGGCTATTCCGGACCGGCGTATGTAGCCGTGAACCCGGTCGTGAATTGGCTCACCCCGCGAAGGATCCTGCAGGGCTTGTGGGAGAACCGACTCCGTCGATGGATGAGTCTGGCCTGGATAAAGGAGAGAATCGTCCGGTCGCGGATTTCTCGTTGGGTCGCTCTATCCGGGAAGAATAGGGAGCCTGGGCCCTATTGCGTTATAAATGAGATGCAGATTTTGCATCCCTATGGGTGGTATCATGTATGATTTTCTTGCATACCGGAGTTAATTTTCATGGGCATATTAGTCTTGGGATTTTGTTCGGGGAGCTAATTGTGAGCGTATCCAGAGATTTCTTTCTTTTTATGTTGAAATTCATTGATTTCCCTTTCCACCTCCTTTGGTATATACCAATAAAGCACGCTATATGAAGTGGGTATATCGAGATTATGATAAAAATTATATCCATTTCCCGCATGTCTCATATCACGGTCGATGGAATGTGGCAAATGCAGGGTGCAACCAGCTTGCAGCATGACGACAGTCCTAGCCCTTCTAGGTAACGGAGACATTCAGTCCAATGAGTTTCGGGTCCAAAGCACGAGTGACCGATCAAAGACCAACCAACCGATTCCCCAAGAGACAACCAATTCAAACAGACCCTTTCGGCAACTTCTCCTGCGAAGACTCCGCATCCCCCTTCACGTGCGAAGAGGTCGGCGCGGTCACAGGCGTAGGAGCCGCAGCCTTCGGTGGGGCCGGCGCAATCCAAAAGACAGGGTACCGGCGATGCAAATTATTTAGCAGCAGTGCGCACGACATAAGCAGAGTCGAGGAGAGCAGGACCACGGGCAGGTAGTACCAAGACAGGTTCCAGACCTCGTCGTTCGTGGCGGGGAGTAGCGCGGTTGCACCGGCAGGGGGGTGGGTGGTTCCGGTCAGCTGCATGACGACTATAGCCGTCGCGGTTGAGAGGGATGCGGCGAGCCAACGCAGCGATTGGAAGCGGGCTTCGTCGGGCATGAGGCTGAATAGCTTTGTTATGCAGATTCCGGTTAGGGCGCTGAAGAAGTGGCCGAATATTAAGGCACGGGGTTGCGCGAGGGGACTTTCGATTGCGCCGAAGCAGAGGACTGCTGATGCACCCTGGTGTTCTCATTAGTACTCGTAAATATACATTGAAATTCATGTACAAGTTGAAGTATACGTCAAGGTGGCGATGTCTATCTAACAAAGGCCGACTCGGACGAGGACTTGGAGTGGTGGCGGGATTGCAACTTACATATGAGGCAATGATACCAGGTACATGGCGCGATGTGAAGTATTCTGAATAATTAAATAGGGCTTGTACCACCGAAAGACCACAAAATGCCGTGATAAAAGACCAGGCGGCGACTTGGTATGGTGGGAGTGGCTTCACGGGTTCGGCGCGGTAGCCGAGCCAGTGGCTAACCCAGGGCGGGAGGCGGGATAGACGCGATGCAGACATATTTAAGATTTTTAAATACGCTGGGAAGGCCAAGAGCTCGGAAACGGGCGGTTTAGCACGCGATGGCTCGAAAGAAGAGAAAATAAATGCACGGAATGCAGCGATGCAAAGGGCGTTGCGCTAGTGCGATTTGGGATGAGGAGAAAAGTTCGTGCGGAGAAGGAAATGCGTGCGGAGTTCAATTTGGAGACATCGGGGGATTCCGATGGATGTACTTTTAGTATAGCAGGGGAATTGGTAGATAGATGTTAGAATGTAGTCACTTGATTGACTTTGGTTCATCGAAACGCGAGTTAAATGTTGCTATTCACCAAAACTTGCAATGCTTTGGTATCTACTAGCATCATGGGCGTCGCCGTTTGGCCCGTTCGGCCGTGCGGGGATACTTGATGGTACAGACTCGGACTATCACATCCATCGCAAGGTGGGAAGATTCGAAAGCAGACTCCCTCTATACTCATACTTCCTTTTATTTAAGCTTTTTAAGCGCCTGGCATCTCTTGAAACACTGGTCCCTGCGTCTTTAGTGTCAACATGCCATCTCCATAGAATACCCCCATTGGCTGTAGATAAGGCTGTCAACAACTTCGACTCCAATTGGACGGTGCGCTTAGCTTTGATATACGAGTCGGGGGATCTTATTAAGGTTGTTTGTATCGGAGAATATCTCAAGATGTGTAGAAATTATTGAAGTGAATGCTCAATTGTATGGAAGGAGTAAAAAGTGATTCCATTATACATTATACGGCAAGATCATGCAGCAGCTCTCGGCTGACAATGTGCGACTCACCAAGGGTGCCCTTCATTACGAGCACCAGATCATCCACCGCACCCAGGAACTTTAGATAAGAACTGACTGCGACGCAGAACCGGCGATAATTTTCATCCCGGATCAATTCCTTGCTCAACGCGATCTCAACTTGGTGGGCCTTCCAAAACTCGAAGCAACGTTTCAGCAATGGAGTGGGAAGAACTTCGGGCAGAGGATCTCCGGTCTTTAGAGCTTGCTCGACCACGCCAAGAACAGCCATGATATCGCCGACATTGCGGTGGTCGAGGAGACCAGCGTGGTGGGCAAGTCGGGTTTGGAATTTCTCTGGTAACGATGACGAGAGGAACAACAGGCGACCGATGTGTTGATTCAGTTCTTGGCACAGTGCTTTGACATGAGCGAGACAGTCGCTGTCAAAGTGTGAGCTAGAGAATTCCAAACGCAGCAGGGCAACGGGCCCATCGAGAGATGTCAGGGTCTGGGCAAGGTCAAGGGCAAGTTGCTCGGCGACGAGTCCCTCTTCACGGTCGGGCTGGCCCCAGCATGAGAGCAGCAAGGCATAGTGGTCGGACAGGGATCGGAGTGCATTGGAGAGCGACTTGCAAATGTGACGTGCTGCTGAAGGTGGCCGCGGGAAGATCTGTACGATCAGAGCGGCAGTAGCTCCCACCAACACGAGCACAAGTCGCCTCCAGAAAACGTTGTATCCCCAGCCAGGATTACCGTAGGAAGGAATGTGTCTAGGATCTAGTTAGTCATACTCTCAGTCATTCCAGAGCAGGTAACTCACGTATCGTCGTAGCTGTAGCCGACGACCAGAATGCAGGTCGCGCCGCACATCATGGTCGCCTGCAACAAGACCAGTGGCGCAAACAAACGTCCCCACATTAGCAGCGTAAGCACAACAGCCATCACCGCAGCTAGGCCGTAGGGGTTTCCATCCCCATTGCCCGAGCCAATATACCATGCGACCAGGCCCGCAAGACCACCAACAACAGTTCCGATGGCACGGGAGACAAATGAGAGTGAGAAATCGGACATGTAAATAACGACACTGGTCTGAGCCATGATGAGCGCCCACAGGCCCTTCTCGCGATAGTAGAAGCCCGCGCTGCTGGGGATCACGGCGGGGACTCCACAAGCGATGGTGACAATCACCATACGCAGCGCGTACATACCCTCAGGGCAAATCAGCCAGTGGTAAGTGCCCAGTATAGCCTTCCCAAGTCCACTACGTTGTTTGACTTTATAACCTCGGCTGATACGCAGACTCTGTTGGGCGGCATTGATCTGCGCTTCAACGACGTCGGGGTCGGGATAAGGCGATTGCGCAGCTTGAACAGGAGCGATGGATTTCTTGTGGAAAACCCAGTTCACCGCATAGCGCAAACCGCGTGGGAGCCAAATACGGACCTTTTGGCGCTCCTTCATCAGAGCCACGAGCTGTGCGAGCACCTTTTCCCAGCCGTCGACCATGCTTAGAACCTGTTCTTCAAAACTCATTCCCATCATAATGCCCTGGCCTCGGCGCATGGTTTCATCGTCGGTGTCTTTCAAGCGGCCATCTTCGCCGAAGATTTCTGCATATGTATCGAGGAGTCGTTCGGTAGTCTCGGAAGCAAAAGTCGACCGGAGTCCCTGCAATGTCTCCAATGTAGAAGCGCTGCGCTCACAGAGCTCGTCCATGCGTTGCTGAGAAGGCTTTCCAAACCAGCGTGCAGAATTGACAGCATGGATACAATCCGCGATAACAGTGCTCGCCTCCTGGCAAACGGGCAGGATCTTTTTGGTTGGAGGGCGAATCGCCTCAAGCATATCCATGCGCAGAGACTCATGTTCTGGGCTTCGCAGGGTCTTGATCAAATTGACATTCTCCATGAGCTGGCGCATACCGATCTCTCGAGGTCGCTGCTTCTCGCTCTTCTCCGATTCTGACGACCATGGACGGTCCAGTGTGAGAGAGTTTAACTTTTCAACCTTTGCTTTCCCTCCCAAGCGAGCGATGTGTATTTCCAATAGCGAGAGACTACTCAACAACGCCTGTCGCAATGGCTCCTTCAGGCTCTTCACATCGTCCGCGTTCCAACGGCCAACAGAGAAGTCAAGTTGCAGGAAGGCCAGTGAAGGCTCCATCTTCTTATACGCAGCAATGGTTTTCATCTTCAGCTTTTGCAAGCTTTTCAGATCCAGGGGGTCACCCTCCAGTAAACTGGCATATGTGACATCAATGGGGCCCTTGAGTAGCCGCACGATACCTTCCATGTCCTCCAGGACGGCAGCGGAAGTGGACTTGGGAAAGAACAAAATCGACGAAGCCAGGCCAATACCGATTCCAATGGCCGCCGGCTCAACCAGAACTTTGGGAATAGTACCGGTGAATGAAGGGAGCAGTGGTCCCACGGTCAAGAAGACATCCATGCTAATTGTTCCAAAGATCTGGAGCAAGACAAACTTGGGGTTTTGAGCTCGCAGGCGTGCCTGTGCGATGCGGGGTCAGCAAACTGATATTCATCCATTCAAATTTTCGTTTTAGTTGACGAAAGATGGCAACTCACGAGGAGGTAGACCATCAGACAAATCAGAGAAAAGTAAATGACTGTCACACGGACATCCAACATCCAGCCTTCGTAAACCAGAACCTGCTGTACAGATGCAAGAGGCTGGCCAGTTGAATTAGATATGGAATAAGCTTCTTGGCCTAGGGCCTGTAGCTGAGCATTAGTCTCAGCCGCCGGGCGGGCAGCCAGAGCAGCCTTCATCGCGATGACACCCCAGGCCCAGCCAAGCGCCATGCCGAGGATGAGGGTGAAGGCTCCCAAAATAAAGATGAACACGATTCCTGACGGAGGAACCATGAAAAGAACGAGTCTGAGAATAAAAATTGAATCAGTTGATCGTGTCACGATCGCCGCACAGCCATGCTACATTGTATACCACTCACGTCGCAAAAAAGGTTGCGGTGCCGATAGTTTTCAGAGATGAATTGATGAAGATCAGTAGCGATGC